CTGGTTAAATATGGTTTTAAAATATGTATTGATGCAGCGTCATTGAGAAATGCAGAAGGGAGATTGCCAGCCTTTAATTCTAAATCACCAACATCTGCTTGCATTGCATGAGTAATATCCTCAACTTTTCCCTTTAAGAGAATACCACCCAGAAGAACTAGATAGCAACAGATTGCAAATATATACAAAACGATATATCATTTAATTGTGAATAAAATAATTTAGAATTTTTTATTTAATTCATAAAAAACTAACCATTTATTTTTCCTGCTACACTTTTATCAATATAAGACAAACACTTTTTTTTCCATCTACATGCACCATTTTGCAGTTTTTTTCTCTGTAGCTTTAGGCCTTCCTCGCGACTTAATCTTTGGGGGAAACTTAAGATCTTTTATATTGATAAAATAAATATTCAAAGAATCACTTTTGCTTGCCTAAAAGATTTAAAATTGAAAAGACTTAAAAGTTTTAAATTGCTTTGAATTTTTTAAAGCTAAGTTTAATTATTCTTTATAATGATATAAAAATGCATATTCAAATGAAATAGAATGGTGTGGATCAGCTTGATACCAATTTTTATAAGAATCGGGAATTGTTCAAGCTCATTTAAAAAGTAGATAATGGTATTTTTTTGATTCCTTTAGAATTGATGGAATTGGAATAATACCACCTCTAACTTTTCAACCTTTTCTTTTATTTAAATCCCAAAACAAAAATAAAAGCATTTCAAAATTAAATGAAAAATAATTCAATACCTCTACTGCATCACAACTGTTCTGATTTTCACTAACTATTGTGTTAAAATTTTCAAGAGTGGGACTTTGATCAAGAGCCAAGCTTTGAACACTAGTTAACTCATTTCTACCATTGTTCAATTGAAGATCAGGGGAGGAGTAAATCATTTGTTCTTGCAAGTGTAATTTACACTCAAATTCAGTGGAACTATTAGATAAATAATTTGTTTTTGTAAGAGGCTGGGGTATTGAAATTTTTGAATTACAGCTATTAACAAGTTAATTTGACGAGTCAGTTGATTTCGAGTCATTTAAAGTAAGGAAACTACAAACACCCCTTGGGTTTATATCTATTGGATTAAAGAATTCATTAGATTTGAAGTCAACATCAATACTATTTGATGAGTTTTGAGGATACAAAGTTTTTATACCATCACATAACATCTCTTTACCAGTATCATCACATAATATCTTCTTACCTATTTCAGCAGGGTGATTCAAATTAGTTTCTATTAAAAAATCCACAGGTGATTCCAGGATTGACACATCTATGCTTTTATTTTCCTCCCAAACTTTAGCTAGATTTTGTAGAACATTTAACCTGATTTCAAATTCATTATTGTTACTTTCTGAGACTATTTGGGCTAAACTCTGCGAAAGACGATATGCTTTTTAAAATTTTTCAGATTGTGTCAATGGTCTTTCCTTAATAACACCTAATCCCAGATGACTAAGGTTTTCATTTTGGTGTTGGAAAAGTCTATGGTTTTCAATAGAATGAGCCTTAAGCCGTCTCACACCAATGCCATCATATGAAAATAGTGGCAAATGTTTCACTCGCCTTGCAACAAACATATGTTTACATGGTAATGCCATTGATTTAAAAAATATACATTGACACTTTTGCTCGCTTATCAACACCTTATGACCTAATATTTCTAAGGTTGGATGTTCATTTTCTTCAACAGGGTTTAAACCTATTGCTTCTTCGAATTGACTTGCTACAAAAGTTTGTGCATAAGGTGTTAATATTTGAGAAAATTCTTTTAGAACATCATTTTGCAAAAAAAGCATGCACAGAGATACGCTCGCCAGCAGTGATAAATGTATGATCTCTTTCTTTTCGCATGCAATCAATTACAGTAATAAGGTCTTTGAAAAAAAGAGGAAGAGGGTTAAGTAAATTTGGGACAGCTTTGATTTTTCTGTTCACAGACTCTAACCTATTTGTAGTTCGCTGTCCAAAAGTTAAATTCTGCTGTTGCCAACAATACACCCATTCAGTTATGCAATTGTTCCAGTTATTTTCAAAATAACGAACAACACTCTGTGGCATTTTGGCAACAAAATCACCTCTCTGTTTTTCAAAGTCTATTTCAGATGAGGCATAAGCCATTTTTTGAAGAGATTTTAATGCATGTATTCGCTGGCTTTCTGAAATTCCTATTTTTAAAACAGTAACTTCTCGACTCATTGCTCGTAGAACATGAAATAGGCATAGTAATAAAACTGCATTTGGAAAAGTTGTTCTTATAGAGTCTCTTTCTGCCATGTCTTTATCTGTGAAAATAGTGACAATTTTAGTCCATTTTTCATTTCTTGATTTAAATGTTTCCAGCACTTCACTTAGTGTTACTGAATCCTCGGATGCAGTTACAAAAATTGTTACTATTTCACTTTCTCCATTCGGTCCTACAGCCAGCATAATATATAATGGCATGCGTAAATTTGTTAATTTGTAGGTTGCATCCATCAAAATTAGCTCTGGATACAATGAAAAAAATCTTTTCATTTCTGCATCTTGGAAAAATATTGATTGAATGACTCCACTATTATCGCATTTTATGTCCACATCCGCACCTAAAACAAAATATAAGTTTGACTAAAGTAAAGCAACTTAGAGCAATGCAATATAAATTATAATCTAAAATCTACCAAAATAATATATATTATGTTATATTATATAAAATATTACATAGCAGGCTTGGTCGGGAAGGGGGAGCGATCGCTCTCGAATACTGACCACGGAAATTATATTTAGTTGCGTAAAACTAGCCAGGTTTTTTAGTCGTTTTAAGAACATTTAAGTTTATGTACGAAACAAAGAATTTTTGTTTTACGGACATACATGGAAACATAATAAACTAGAATGTTCTCAAATTATCTTCGTGCGAAAGAATAAAAAGAATAGTTGCGAACATTAAAAACCCGCCAAATTAACAAACAAACTAATTCTATTGGTTCAAAAAACACGCTGATTAAGCGAAATAAAGTTCTTGAGTATTCTGTTAAAATGTTTCAGAAATTGTATTATTCATGTTTTGAGATTTCTAGTATTATTTTAAGAATATATATTATTTGTTTATGAAAATAAATGTTTTAAATATATATTAATTAAATTGTTAAAATTTTAAAAGTTTATTATAAATGATAGATTTTATTAGTATATTCTTATTTTTTATTTTAAAAGAGATTGTATTCTTTATGTAAACGTAATTGTGTGTATTTATTTTTTATCGTAATGTATCTTTTAAAGCAATTTTATGATTTAAACAAAGACTTGCAAAAATAATTGCGTATTCAATGAAGTTATAATCGTTAAAGTTAATAAAACTAATTATGTAACAAACATATAAGAAGTTTCTGGTTACTTAACACAAACAACGCATACAAAGTAACTCGCGGATGAACAAGCATCGCGCCTGAAGTCAAGACAGAACACAAATATATAATAGCAAATTAGATATAAAGAAAAGTTTCTAGATATTGGTTTACTAACTCTAATTATTTTCGCTTAAGTTGCCATTCTTAAAACTCGTTATACTTTTTTCTGCTTTAAATACTAATTAAAATTAAAAACCCACTCACTAAACACCATCAGCGATATTGTAAAGCAGTTTCGCTTCCTGGTCATTACGTATTTTTAACCTTTTTAGTTGATTTCTATCTTAATAATTTAATTCCTATAGTAATTCAATGATTTAATTATTTCATTTGTTTATCTTACTAAAAAGAATCACTTCAAATATGTTAAACTTTTCAAACTAGGTGAAACATAAAATAGGTATTAAAAAAATTAACTTTTTTATTTATAAAATAAATTAAGCTTAAGTAAAACTAAAACGTGCAAAAAGTTAAATAAAGAATATTTGTTTCCCTTTTAAACAATCGTAAGTTGTTACTTTATATAAAAAACATCGCTTAATTTTATAAAAAAAATTTATAAAAAAGCGATGTTTCGTAAATATTTGTTCTAAATGTAATTTATTTAGCTTAAAGTTTTTTCGCGTTTAAAGATATTTTATTTGCCTACTTTTTTTTTTTTGTAATTGTCTCTCATCGGTCCAATTAATCTTTGTCGCTTTTTTTTTTTTGCTTTTTAAAATGTTCTCAAAACGACTAAAAAATCTGGCCAGCTTTTCGCAACTAAATATTATTTACGTGGTCAGCAATTGAGAGCGATCGCTCCCGCTTCCCGACCAAGCCTGCATAGTGGTTATATAAATCAGGTTTAATATAAATAATATTGTGCGTTAGTAAAATTGTAGTGTTAGTAGTAAACAAATAGTGTAAAACAAACATTTACGAATATCTACCAAACAAGACCAATTAAAAATATAGTAGCTAGTAATGGTGATAAGTTTCGTATTCAGTTTGTTCTTTTTTTTTTTTTTTTGCAGTCGTACGTCACTTAACATAATCTTGTTTCTGAAAATGTTATAAAATACTAGTATTGATATCCAATTTTTTTGAACTATTTAAAAAAATAATTAAATTAAAATAAAATTAAATCGAAAAAAATATTTAAAGTAATTTGTTAAACAGCAGCATTAATCAGCGATAAAAACTAACCATCACAATTTTTAAAAACTCCAAGTAAAGACTCTATATCTGTGGAAACTTTCTCCTTAGATGCTAAATTATGAAGATCTTTTAATGTTATTTTCTTTTCTATTAGTGATAAATATATATATATACAGGCCTTGTTTTAAAGCGTTACGCCTAGAGCGATTTACGTACGCCTTAAGCGCTTTTTACGAACGCGTAGAGCTGTTTTGGTTAAGCTACTTTTTATCATTTTTTAACTTTTAAATTAGCGGTAACATAAAAGAAGTAATTAATTTTCAAAAAAACCACATTAACTTTTAAATAACGATATGTATTTATTAAAAAAAAGAATTTACTTGTTTTTAATTAATTGTTTTAAAAAATTTAATGTAATTAATTGTTGTAACTTTTCATCGCGATATATCTTTCCTTTTTATAGCAATTAATTTGACGCTAAACTTTTTATCCAAATATTTAGCAACATGAAAAATTGTTTGTCAATCCTTAACTACAAATTTTTTGCAATGTTTTTAATAAAAAGTAGTAAAGTTTTTAGTAAAAAACTTTTAAAAAATCTATACTCCATATTGATTAATACAGAATATAAAAGTTTTTTGTAATATAGATTTTTTATGAATTTTTTACTGAATTTATAATAAAAAACATTTGCAAAAAAATTTGTAATTAAGAATTGACATTTTTTTAAATAAAATCTCAAAAAATGTCTTAATATTTTTGTTATCATGATAACAAAAATATCAAGACATTTTTTCGAGATGTTAAAAAAAATGTCTTTGCTTTTCTTATTAGTTTAATAGTATATAGCTTATAGTTAGTTTAATAGTATATAGCTTTTCTTATTAGTTTATTAGTATATAGTTTAAGTTATGCGGGGGGAGGGGGTCGGCATAGAAAAAAAAATTACCTGTTACTCGCAATATTTGAATGAAGACAATTTGTTAAAATTCTTCTGCGTGCGATTCAATAAGTTTTTTTTGTCATAAATCAAGTTATAATATAAGGTAAAGAAATCATGACTACAACATCCGCTGATGACACTAATATTACGTTGAATATATTTATATAACGGAGGTTTTATTATGCACGCGCACATTACAGGTTCCGTTAAATAAATACTAAGGCACGTTTGAGTTTAATGACAGTCTCCATTTTTTACTAATGTATATGTATTTTTCTTTATAAAACAAAACAAACTAGTATATAAAAACCTTGTATATTTCTATTATCTCTAAATTATTTAAAGTTCGAATGTGGATTGTATTTTGAAGGACAAAAGATTTACTTTAAAAACTTTTAAATCTTGGGACTTTGCCGATGCGATGATCACAAAAAAAGAGAAGACTTACGTTATTAAAATCAAATGTAAGTTATGTGATCTTCATCAAAATAAAATATTATCCAAAAACAATAGTGCCGTAAGGGCAACTGCCCAACGGTTTATAAATAATACAAGTCATGTTAAAATATTTTAACATGTTACTATATTTTAATTAAGTTGATATGTAATTAAAAATAAAAATATAGTTCAATAAATAAATTAAATTTATTCTTAACAAAGATTACCTCATATTTATTATTATTATTTTTTTTTAATTAAATTAAATTGCTTACAAACGAAAAAAAAAAAGAGTTTTGTAATTATACGTAGAATGAAAATACTTTTGAGTTTGTTTATAAGTTAAGGAACTTAATTTTTAATAAACAAATTTTTACGAACGTTTATTATAAACAGATACGATTCAAATTATTAAATATACTTAAATTATTTCAGTTGAGTATTTTTATAAGTTTGCACGATTAAAGTTTGGCGTACAAGTATTTGTTTTTTTGTTTTAAGAATAATTAATAAAAGAGTTTGCATAATTAAGACTTTCATATTTAATTTTTTTTTTTTTTAATTTCCTGAAATTAAAAAAAAAAAAAGATTTAATCGTTGAAAACAATTTTTCTCTATAGCTCTGTTTCTTTGTGATTTGTTTAAAAAGTTAAATATTTTTACAATAACATAAAAAGTTTATGAATTAAATTCCTGGCGAACGCGTTCTAAACTACGTATCAAAAATACGCTTCAAAGCAGACAAAACTTTTTTATATTTTTATAAAACGCAAGTTGAAACACTTTTAAAAACTTAAAAAATATTTAAAAACTTAAATTTTTCTTTGCTAGTCAAAAACAAAATCGTTGTTTAAATATAATTAAAAATCATTAACATGGGTTTGTGTTTATCAATGTTAATATTTTTTGTTTACTCTAGAAATTTTTAAAAATAAAAAAAATCATTATTATTTTTTATTCAATAACGATTAAAAACAATTATTCAAAAACAAATTTCAGAAATAATATATATAAATTTTTTTTTTCACTTAATAATATTGAACTAAAATTAATAATAAAATAACAATTGAAAACATTACAAAATTTTCATAATAAATTTATATTTAAAACATTTATAGTTTATATTTGAGTTAATTGTTAAATTGAATTAGTTTGCGGTTATTTATTTATTGCGGTAGTTAAAACACTTAACGCCTATAAAAAAAAATAAAGATAATTTTATGACGTCAAAATCGCGTTAAGCTAATGCATTAAGCACTTTTTTATTTAAAACAAGGCCTGTATATATATATATATATATATATATATATATATATATATATATATATATATATATATATATATATATATATATATATATATATATATATATATATAAATATATATATATATATATATATATATATATATATATAACAATTATAATTATATTAATATTTACAAATATAAATATATATATATATATATATATATATATATATATATATAAATAATATAATTATACCATACAAATATAAATATAAATATATATATATATATATATATATATACAAATATAAATAAATAAATATATAAATATATATATATATATATATATATATATATATATATATATATATATATATATATATATATATATATATATTAGGGGATTAGGGGCTATTCTAGACCGTTTTCGACAACGTTGACTGCATTTGGTTTTTGTAGGTATTAAAACACCTACAAAAACACTCAAATTAAAACTTGAGGACCTTTTTTTTCATTTACGTTTTTTACAACAAAAATTGTTATCTTTGCGAAAAAAACTGCAGATTTTCCCCTAAAGTTATATATGCCTTGGTTGGGAACAAGAGCTTAACTCCCTACCAAGGAGTTTTGCCCACACCTCCTTAAAATGGTTTACAGGAGCAATTTACAACTCTTGCAAAAGTATCATTTTTGTATAAAAAAAATAATTCAAATAAAAAAGGCAAAGTTAAAGTTTTAGATTAACAAATTTGCGATTTAATTTTTTTGATATATAATATATTGTTACTTCTAAAATTTTGCTTTAAAGGTAAATCTTTATAAGAAACTTGTTTATAGTTCAAAGAATATTTTTTTAATTTGCCTCTATTTCAGGTCAACATAGACAAAGTTAAAACAAAGTATTATCTATAACAGAAAACGTCACTTTAAATGAATATTTAATTTGCATGCGCATTCAAACTCATTCACAATTGTATTATTTTTCTTTTTTCTTTTATCTGATAGTAATATGAAACTCAATATTTGTTTCTATCAAATATGTTGAAAGTATAAAATAATTATTGATTATTAAAAATTTATAAAAAAAATATAAAAAACAGAACATTTAAAAATATAATTAAAAACTTAGAATTCTTTTTTTTGTCGCACTCCTGTCTAGTTGAGTTTACCTTATGTCAAATGAAACTATGAGAAAAGTATTTAAACTTTTTTTTACCTCTGCTATTATGAAATATTGCTGCTGTTAGTACAACATAGTATTTCATCAATAAAAATAATTCCTGACAGTCTGTTCAGGGTGGCCAGCCCCTTTGTACAATCAAATCAAAAAACCCTGACTCTGATAATTAAAAATCTGGAATTTCAAAAAGAAAAAATTATAAAAATTACTTTTTAAACTAGTGTTTATTGTTTGTAAATGTCTTTCAGTCTAATAGCAAAGATTTAATTAGGGAAATGAAAACTATGTAAAAAAAAAGTAATCATTTAAGTAAAATCAAAAGGCTAAATTTTGACTTAATGAATGACTTTTGACGGGAAAATAGCAAAATCCTAGACTTCTCCCAATCAGGGAATCAGGGACCCTGACTCTCCTAACCACCTAATGCAAAACATTTTCCTGAACTTTTCCATAATTTCCCTTATTTCATGTATACTGCTCACCCTGCTATTCAGCAAAAAACTAATACCTTTATATAGTAAAAAAAACAACAGATTTACTTTGTCAATTGCATGGTTGTGCTCATTAATAACTTTTGTCACACAGAACCTTTCACCATCTTCAGTAACACCAATGCACCTATAAAATTCAATGTCCATTTACAATTTGTAAATGGACATTGAATTTTATAGGTACTTTGTATAAATAATATAAATAAGTCTAGATATAGCATCTTTAATGAAACGAAATCTTCAGTTTACAAAAAAATATTGTAGAAAAAAGTTTTGTCTTATTGAGTAACTTTAATTATTATTTACAAATACCTTTGGTTTGGACGAAGCCCTTTTGATCTCGATTTAAATTGACGTCCACCATGATAGCAACAGTAAGTTAAATAATAATATTTTAAATCTTAATTAATATATCGTTGCAAACCTTTTTTAATCGCTAAATCAATTGTTCGACTATCTCGAACATAAAGAGATACAAATCTTGATTTTTCATATTCTTTAATTGCTAGCTTAAGCTCATTAAAATTATTAAAAATATCTCCTACATTCATTCTATTAACAATCAGCGCGGATAATACTAACGATTAAGTCGTAAGTAATTAATTGTAAGTAAATTTTATGTATCAGAAGCAACTTTTAAATAATCAAAGGCTAAGAAACCGGCTACTAGTTTTCTAATTGCGGATGTTAAGTAAACCATCTAAAAGCTACGTCATCGTCATTAGCTAGAACCCAGACCAGCCGGTACTCTAATTGCTAGAGCTAAAGATCAGCAGCCGGTAGCGTAGCCACTGCGTTTAATAATAATAATAATAACAAAAATAACAGTAAAAATAACAACAACAATAATAGAAATAATGACAACAGTAATATAACAAAAACAGTAATATAAAAAAAAATTATGACAATATTAACAAAAGTAAAAATAATTATATTTATAATGATAAAAGTATAGTAATAATAATATTAACAATTATAGTGATGAAGAGAAAATACTTCAGTTTAAGAAAGATTAAATAATAAATAACTGGTTATTTATACTTTATAACTTTAACTTTTTTTTAGAAAAATATTGCTTATAAATCTTATACTTTCCTTCAACTTATTATTTATAACTCTAACTCTCAGCTTCTGTCTATCTATTTTTTTTTTCTCTTTTCTGTTGTGTTTTAATATTTTTTAAATTTTTGTTAAATTTAATAAGTTTAACAAAAAATATTAAATCACAACAGAAAAGAAAAAAATTAGATAAAAAAAAGCTCAGAATTAGGGTTATAAATAATAATTTAAATGAAAGTATAAAGTTTATAAGCAATGTTTTTCTAAAAAGTAGTTAATGAGAGCAGTTTTAAATTTTGAGAATGACTTACATTTCTTACATGACAAATTCAGTAAAAAAAATTAACAAAGAAATCGCTTGAAATTAAAATTTACCAAGAAATGTGCACTTAATTAAAATGAATGAATTTCTGATAAGTTTTCAACTCAAGGTAAGTACTTTGAAAGGTTCTAAACCACAGGTTTCTTTAACTAAATATTCATATCTCTGGATCTTCAACACAGGTCGCTCCTCCGGAACATTTATCGCCTGTAAACGTTTCGGCTGTAGACGGTAATTTTGAAAAAATTTTTATAACATCATTTACGCCGATAAAATTTACAGCCGGTAGCATTTTACGCCGATAAAAAGTTTTATAACATTGACCCCAGATATATGCTATTGTTCCCTAGGCACCAGACAGGAAAGACACTGCTAACTCCAGAAAACCTGAACGATAGTCAAACTCTTGAGAAAATGGTGAAGTTACATTATATGTTTTTTATTGATCTTTCTATGGCTTTTGCAGCCAACCACAAAGTATTTTTATGAAAATTTACAATGTACCCAGTAAGGACAGGACGTTTTTAAAACGTTTAAAAAACTTATTAAAACGGATTTTAACGTTTTTTAAACGTTTTAAAAACGATCTGGGTACAGCATAAGGGAATAAAAAATTTAGATAAAGCACTTTAATCTACATAGTTTTCTATCCATAATGTAGAAAGTTGTTTAGATAAAAGTGTGGAATTTGTATATTACGGAGTCAGTAACTCTCAACTCTCTCTTCCGTCTTTAATAAAGTGTGGGATCCCTCAAGGATCAATACTTTTGCTTTTGCTTTTTTTAACCTATGTAAACGATCTCCGCATGACATCAGAAAAAGTTTCAACTATAATGTTTGCTAACGATAACAACTTTTTATCTCCGGAAAAGTTATAAACAGACTAGAACCTTTCTTTCGTAAACAGAAGCATGCTATACAAGTGATTGATTTTAAAAATAAAAAAGAACAAAACTTCTTTTTGAACAAATGTCTTTTTTAACATTGTTTGAACTAGATGTGTATAATGTTCTAAGTCTTGTTTATAATAGCAAAATGCAAAAAGTCCTTTAATTTTTTTTTCTTTATAAATAAAAACCAAAGTAAAATATTTGCGCACTGGTCGAGCTTTCATGCAAAAATAAGCTTGAGCAAATTAAAAAACTTATCGTACGCCTCATATCTGGAATAAAACTTATCGTACGCCTCATATCTGGAATAAAACTTATCGCACGCCTCATATCTGGAATAAGTTTTTACTATTTAATTTAAGTAATATTGATTCAAAAAACTTAAATTGGTGTAAAAAAAAACTATTAAAAGAGTATTTTAAAGTATAAAAATATAGTGACTGATTTTTTCTAAACTTATTTTCTGCAAGATCCTTAAATAATTTCATAATTTTTTGTTAAATCTAAATACATTTTGAAAATTTCATAAGCAATAAATGTGTAAATATTAAAAAAAAAAGAAAAAAAAAAACGCTATGTATACTTGTATATATAATCTGACATTTTATAACCGTTATAATGTTTTGGTTTTATGTAAAATATTTATGAATATGTTTTTATATTTAGGACAGTGTAAAGCGGTTCTTGAAAGTAAGACCATTTGGTCATCTGCAAGTTTCCCGTATCTTTTTTTACATCGTTTCAGTGAAATTTATTTATTAACTTTGTAAAACTACTTTGTAATCTTTTCGTTTTATTCCTATATTCACTACTAACGAATCTTTATTATGTAATTACGAAGTTGTAATATTAAGGAACAAAAAGTAAACTTAAAATTAAACTAAAAAATAAAAATATATTATAGGGTAAAACACCCAGTATTCGCCACTTTTTTCTACCCTGCCCCACTAAAATATTTTTTTCTCACTCGTTTTTCAATAAATGATTGATCTTAAATATTTATCGTACAGATGGGTAGTTGGGCTATACGCTGTACTTAGAACGAATGACCTCCGATAATTAATAAGGGGGCTATAGCCCCCGAAAGTTGAAAGTGGCGGACACTGGAACGGTCCCCGTGTTCGCCAGGCAATTTTTTGAACCTGTTCCAGTGTTCGCCACCCTCAGACTTTTTAAAAAATGAGTTCTTTTTTTTAGTTATTTGGTATTAAAAATATATTTAAATAATTGTTGAATAATTTTTTTATGTAATGGAAAATTTTTTTGGTTTCTTCTTTGCCATTTTTGTTGCTGGCAGCAACTTTCTTTTAGCTGGAACACTTGGCTTGTTGCGTTTAGCTAATTCAGCAACTAAGCGCTTCGTTTTTCTCTCCTCTTTTGCTTGTTCTTGTTTTTTTTTTTCAAGCCTAATACCTTCTAGCATCGAGACAACTTTATCTGAAGTCACTACAGATGTGGCATGAAGTTCTTGAGCCACTGTACGAACCTTTCCTATGAAAATTAAAATAATAATCAGGTTATAATAAAGTAAATTTATGACCATAGGCTACATGTGGTAATTTTACAGAGATTAAAAATGGAAATTATAATAATAAATTTAAAATATAGGTAGCCTAGTTAATACACTAACCGATAGCTTTTTTTGGAGAAGGGAACCACTTATGATTTTTAAGAGCAGGACTAATCGCAGGTGGTCTTGCTTGTCTTTGAGGTTCTACCAACATAGGCCTAGTCCTGTTTGGAGGGGCTGACATTGAGGAACACTGTGCATCTGAACTAGAATGAATACTAGGTGAATGAACAAGGGAAACAACAAGGGAATCAACAGCTGGTGCATCCTCTTGCCGATGATTTCGATCAAAGACATATTGGAACCAATTTTGCCTCTTCACCATTCTGAGTGAATCAAATCGTGGCGAATCGATGACAAAGTCATCAAATGATTTTGTTATCCTGTAATATAAATAAGAATTGTTTTATAATAGTTACTAACTTTTATTACCCTGTAATATAGATAAAAATTAGTTTATAATTGTTACTAACTTTTATTACCCTGTAATAGCTATAAATAAAAATTGGTTTATAATAGCTACTAACTAGCTAGCTGGGCTTATTATTTTATATTGATACAAATGTTAGACACTAATACCTAGCTATCACTTACAGGTGAATGTTTGGGCCTGCTCCCAGTCCTTCCATCGTGCTTGTACTTGTGTTACCAGACAAGATGATGTCAGAGGATGTCTGTGTCGCAACATTGACATGAAAAAAATTTTCAACTTGAGTGGAAGCTTCAACACGACCGTCTTGAAGCACTCCTTCAAATATTCGACTGTCTCCGGAGTGGGCTTCTTCAAGAGTGAGCTTGGTATAATCAGGAGCGTCTTGATCAAATGGCTGTATGCCACATTTTTTAAAGGATTTTACTATTTTCTCTCTAATCATGACCCTTGTGTACACTGGCAGGAACATTCCTGCAAAGGACTCTTTGGTAACGTATTCATTTGGGTTGGCAGCCCTGAACCTATTCACACACTTAGCCCATTCATTTTTCATAGGGCCAAACAATCCTACGTCCAAAGGCTGCATGAAATGGGTACAGTTTGGTGGGATCAATATAAGCATTATTTGCAGGTCTGCTAAGGTTTTAACTAAATGAAATTGCAGCCTCGATTCATGTTTGTCGGACCAAACTATAACTGGTCTTTGTATATTATGTTGAGTTAACCATTGGTCAAATGCATTAGTGAGATACTCATAAAGCACCTGATGGTTAATATATCCCGATTCACTCTTTCCGATTGCAAATAAACTGGATGGAGTGGCTTCGTATACATTCATAGGAATACGAAGGTTAGGATAAATTATAAGCGGTGGAGGGAGAGAGCCATCGGCACCAACGTTAGCTGCAAAGAAAAGTGCAAAAAAACCAAAAGTTAGCAAGCAGGCCAAGCTAGTATCATGCTAAGCTATCATGCTCAGAGATATGTTGAAAAAAAAGCAATTTATAGTGCAGCATTAAAAGAAAAGCATTACAGAAATAACATAAAAATGAGCAAAGAATAAAATGAAAATGTACCTAGAACAGTGATTCTTTCCTTTTCTTTTGAAGATGTCGCATACGGTACATTTTTAGAACCCTTAGCAGCTAAAACTTTGGAAACATTTGGTGAAAACTGGAACCCCGACTCGTCGATGTTATAGTTACGCTGGGGTTCCTGAAGGATTTCAAGAAGGTCATGTTCAGAGAGGTACGATCTTATATCAGCAAACCATTGTTGTATGACAGCTTGTGAGACATTTCTTTTATTCGCACTTAATGATTCAGTCATGCGAGCAACTATGTTTGGATGCCTCGACAGGAATAGCTTATACCTTAGAAAATAATGGCTAAATTAGTCGACTAGGTATAGGCTATTTCTATTAGACTAATTTTATGTCTGTATCAATTGTTATAAGCTTTATTTATTAAGCTACAAATGTTTTATAAAGTTAATTTGTAATGAAAAATCTTATGACTCGTTATTAAAATTATAACATTTTTTTTTATTTTAATTACCTATAGGTCAACTTTTATAACTTAGGCACAACCTACTTACCATTTATTCCCTGGCTGTCGAGTCCCTGATCTTCCAAATTGAAAGGGACGGTCTCTATTTACTTCCATAAGTAACTTTTCATCCGAAAGAAGACTAGTTACCAATGACATAATGGTTTCTTTGGTAACAGGGTGGGCACGTTTCTGTGCGCTAACAATAAAATTCACCAAAACATTTTCTTCTGCTTCAGTGAGGTAGGTTTGTGGGCCCATCTTTTTTACAACAGGCGCTTTACCACTTATTTTGTCCCTCAATGTGGTGCGCGGGATATTGTACAACTTGGATGCCTCTGAAGCAGTTCTTTCACCACTGAAATATAGCACAGTATAATTTAGGTATAAAACTACTTTATCAGTACTAGGCAGCCCTACCCTATGTATTTCTTTTAAATGTATTATAGGCATTAGGCTATTATGACTACACAATAAGCAATTTAAGCATTGAAATTATGTCTATTAATGCATGCTAATTTTATTACCTTTTTACTTCTTCAATTGCCTTTCTAATGTCCTCCTCAGTGTAAGAATCTCTTGTAGACATACGTGAACCCTTATTGGACTTTGATTTACTAGTATTCATAATTCTAAATGGATATTATGTACCTAGGTACTTATTGAAACTATTTATTATAAGTCTTAACTTGATATATAAATTAATTTAATATAGTTATATAGCCCTATTTGGACTGCATTAGTATTGTTTAATAACTAGGTTAACAGATAACCTACTTCTGAAATAAAAAATAAATACTTAGCTATATTTATACATTTAATAAAAAATAAAAAATAATAACTTGTTCCCGATGGCGAACACTGGCAAAAGGGGGGTGGCGAACACTGGACAAATTCGAAACGCCTATAACTTTTTTGTTTTTAAACGAAATTCAACCTAACGAAGACTGGCATATGGGTCAAAGTCCATATTTTACCATTAAGCCCATATACGCCACTTTAAAGAAAAAAAATTTACCTGGCGAAGACTGGACTAGGTACTATTATGTGTTCCAGTCTTCGCCACCCCTCCTAACCCTGCCCCCCTTAATTTTTTTCCAAGAATAGCCCTGGTACAATCTTCTCCTTGTTCTTCCCATCAATCTGGAATAAAAAAAGTGAAATTGAATTGATATTTAATATGTTTTTTATGTAATTGTTTAAAAAGATTTCTGAAAAAAAATTTTAAGGATTAAGGTTTTTTTGTGACACACTTTCATTCAAAAAAATCCTGAGAGTTTATTTATTTAGTTACGATCGTCAAACTTTCGTAAAATATAAAGCAATGATGGGCGTTCATTCTAGACACTATTTCGGCACTTTCAACCAAATAGTTTTTGACATGCATGTTTTTTAATGGAAAACTGGCGACGACTGGAACACCTGGCGAACACTGGGTGTTTTACCCTAATCTGTTTTTGATTAATAATAAAAAGATGATTTTCATTGTGAAACCTGTGAAAATGGTCAATTTAAAATAAAACAATATTTCATTAAAAAAAAAAGTACAATTATTAAAAATCTGATAGCTGAACCACTAGTTCTTGTGGAACTTGGCGTATACTCTGTCAAATCATTCATGTGCATGGAAAGCAATTGTTTGAAATTTCCAGGAAGAACCATTACATTAGGTTTGTGTAAGGAATTGAAAAAATTGATGCTTCATATTACCGTTGGATAACTTCAAAAGAGGTTGTTAAAAAAGTTCAAGTAGAAGCTACTGGTTAAAAACTGAATTAATTATCAGAATTATTATCAGAATTAGTTGATAGTAACAAAATGAGAGTGCATAAATATAATACTCACCTTTAATTTTCAGAGTTAAAATGGCTGAAGGCTAATTTCACAGAAGATTAAGCAATAATTGGTGTCCATTTTTCAAAGAACTCTAAAATTAAAAACTCCACGAGATCTAGTGTTCTTTTTTTGGGCAAAAACATTTTACCATATTCACAGCAGCTTGTTACATCCATAAAAGTATTATAGTTCAAATGGTAAACTTGATAAATATTTCTTAGTAGTTTGCAGTACCAATTAAATCAAATAAAACAAACCATAATCGCGATGTTGCATTTACAAGCAACAAATGGCTTATTAACAAGGTATAGCTCCATTAGTTTCCACTTTCCATTTCTGGAGTGGTAGTACTAGTCAGTTCCAATCTCAATTAGTCTTTCGGTCTTTCTATTATACCTTGACAATATTACATTGACTTAGAGTTATGGTGAGATACATTACCTTAAAAGTCCCCATGATGGAACTGGTGGAACTATTAAAAACATGATTTACAGGAAATTTTTGTCAGCTAATGTTGTTAATAAAAATACTAAATAGTTTTTTGAAGTTGCTGATCGGCTGACATTACAGTGATGCACCTAGAGGCAGGTGCATCGCTGTAATTTCAGCTATGCACCTGCGTCTAAATGATATTGAATTGCTAGTCTTTAATGATAGGATGGAACTTTAAAGGTTGTCTTTAACTCATGGAACTTTAAAGGTTCATCTTGATAGAGGACAGGGAGCCAAATTTAATGGATTTATACTTAATCAGCTCCTTTAAAAATCATCAAATGAATAAATAAACTTTCTCTCGTAAGAAATTTTTCTTTATAGAAAGTTTCTCTTGTAGAAAATGCAAAGAAAACTTTCCCTTACAGGGAGCAGCAAAAGTTCCTCATTACTGATTCTCTCATCATAATTGACAGCTTTAACTTAAGTTATACATCATTATCATTGTCATCGTCATCATCCTCTCAAAAAAGATTGATTTAACAAGTAGGGGTTTTAATTTAATAAGTAGGGGTTTTTCGAACCTATATCAAATATTCTTTTTTTAATTTTTTAATTTTATTTTATATTTCCCTGTTAAAATAAATTACAGATGAATTTTACATGGTACATGAATAAATAAAACATTTTAAAAACACACAGGGACTCAAAGGTGATATGATGCAATATCACCTCGATCTTTTTAAAGAGCCCATTAATATAATAAAATATTGATACTTCAAATTATAAAATATTCAAAAAGAGTTATAAAAATCCATTAAAGATGTAAAAGTAACAAAATAAAAATAATATAAAATAAACTAAAGATATAATAAGAAAGTAAATTATTTTTACAATTACAATGATATTTTGAAATAACTATATTGAAATTTTAGGTGTTCAAAGAAATAAATACAAACATATACAAAAAGATTTATTAATTAATACGTTAAAAGAAACGTACATCATCAGTAACTACTAAGAATAATAAGTAAAATTCATTTGAATATATTTACAAAATTGTTTTGGAATTTTTATTCCGCAAAATTAAAAATATGTATTTTTGCTTGAAACTTAAATCAGTTTAATGATTTTACCATATTTGCATTAGTTTTTTGAAAAGAACTCCATAACTTAGGTTCTCGATATGCTTATGAATATTCTGCATATTAATTTAATTTCCTTGGTAATTTAAAGGAATTTGATCAATTTTTTCTTAAAAAAAACTTTTCATTTAAATTTTTCTCAAAGTTTCAAATAAAATTAGCTGGAGTTCGGTTATTAATATATTTACACATGTATATAAGGTGCTGATAAAAATTTATTTTGTATACATTCATCATTTTCATATTTCTCATTAAGAGTTTAGTATGCTCTCCTCTTTTTTTCCAGTAAATAATTCTACACGCATGTTTTTGCAAACTATGTATTTTTTTAAGTTTTGATGGTTGTGTACTAGCCCATGTTATATTAGCATAGTTAATGAAACAATAAATTAAAGAAAAGTGTATTAACTTTAGATAAACTGTATTTACATATGGACGAACTCGGTACATCAAACCAATGGTTAGACTAACTTTTGATTGTAAATATTTAATATGGGGAAGCCTAGATAAATTATTATCAACAAGTATTCCTAAAAAACTTTATATAGTCTTGCCTTTTTATTTGTATGTCATTTACAAATAGGTCAGGTAATTTAAGAGGAAGATTTTCTCATTTTTCATTTTTTTATGAGGTGTACTTTGTTTTTTCAACGTTTAATGAG